TTAATGTTTTCTTAGTATTTACGTTTCAAGCGTTTTCTGATACTTTGTCGTGCGAACAATAAACCGTAAGTTTTAAGACAAACTAAGTATTTTCCCTGTGTAAATTGGAAAATGCTGTTTTTAAACATGTATTTAAGTTTTTCCCCCCCAAAAAATTTTTTAAACCGGGGGGCCCCTTTTTTAAAAACACCCTTTAATTTAAAGGTTTTTGAACCAACAACAGTTTGCCAGATAAAAGTAAAACAGACTATGATACAGAGAAAGAAGTTACTTCTTTATATTGAACTTTGGACTTTAACATCGGTATCTATAGATCGTCGGTTCTAAGCTTGCAAAATAAGTGATGATTAAAATAAGTAACACAAGGAAATAATCAAACGCGTTATTATAGTGTAGAAAAACCGCAAAAATTGTAAATAATCTTTGCTGTAATGGATTCTAACAGATGATTTAGCTTCGCTGACAGCGGCTGCCGCATTCTGAGAAAGTAATGAGGCGGGGCTCGCCGACTCGAGGATTAGGTAATATATCGTGCGTTGATATGCATTGTAAGTAACATAATGATATGGTCTTCTAAGACATTAAAGCGATGTGTTTTCTAAAAAAATACAACCTACTACGCCGTTTGCAGCATACCTAATAATGATCATTTAAATAAAACACTTTAATGGTTTAAAACGCGATATATATTAGTTAAAATTATTTTTAATTACGGCCTGACGTATGGATGTTTGCCGCAGCCATGGTCACGGGGAGACTAAAGATGGAGGGTGTCTCTGATGTCAAACAAAAACTGTTGCGTCGAAGTTGGTACTTTGGACTTCTTCGAAACTAGCCGGGTCCTTGCAGAATTGACCAACGGTGTCTTCGCGTTTGCTCAACAAAAAACGTATCTAACGAGCGTACTAACCTCGTTCAACAAGACAACATACTATAGTGTACTACTTGCAAGTAGCTTATATGTCACACAGAGATAAAATAGACCTCATCAATGTCACTTCCGATGCGCGATAACCCCTTGATCTTGACATACAAACTTTCTACTCATTATAATAATAACAGTAAACAACTTACTTCCGAGGTTTATAATAATTAAAATATAATGATCTATAAATTTACTTCGTTCATAATAGTCCACATAACGTTGGAAAATTCCAGTACAATTGTAATAGTTGTGATCGCCGGTTGTTTAGCTTTTAATGGGATAAGATTCTTAATTTACATTTTTTTTCGACTATCGAAAATCCATCCAAGTCACGAACCACCGTATACAGATGAAAAAAGCCTAGTTCATACGCCTTACGATTTCATTTCGTGATTTTCCAAAAATATTCCCATAACTATTCTAATCGAACGTCAAAAAAAGAGATTTGTTGTTAATTATACTAATCAAATATTCATCGTCGTTTATTTAATGGCGTTTATATTTTTGTTTTTTTTTTGAAAATGAAGGAAGGAAAAAAGAAAAAAAATTTAATGGGGCGGCTAATTAATCCCGAACTATATTTTAAAATAGATTATATCTTATATGATTACTTAAGCTATGACTGTTTGTCTGTGTAAAATAGATACACTATAGAGGGACTATATGGTACTATAGAATAAAATTTTACAATACCTATTAATAAAGGAGCTAAAAAAAAAAAAAAAAAAACCCCCCCCCCAAAAAAAAAAAAAAAAAAAATTTTCCCCTTTAAACCCCCCAATTTTTTTTTTTTTTTTTTTTTCCCCCCCCCCGAAAACCCAGCCGGAATAAAATAAAGGGGTTTATTTTTGAGATAACTGGATAATGGTACACTCTCACTTACGAGTATGTACCGTAATTGTACATTATTGACGTAAAAGGCAGCGCTTCTATTTCTCCGTCATGTAACCACTCTGTACGTATATTTAATGATGACGTGAGAAATTTAATAAAAACAAAATTTAGCCCATCGCACAAAATTGAAGCTTTCATCATTTTACGTGAGATAAAGACTTAAGAAAGTGTACACTTATTATCAGAGAATAAAAGGTAAACGCAAAAACTGGTATTTTGAGTGGACAAAAGCTACGCTTTCGTTATACAATTTCTTTTTTTTTCTTTGATAGGCGTGAGAATCGTTGACAATACGCAAAAAGAGGCACAGACTATCAAACGCAATTACAGGAAATCTATATAAATGGGGGCCGGTTGGATGTTTGTTGTATAATCTGTGATATAATAGAGTGGCGAATATTAAATAGAGCACGTTGCTAGAATTAATAATAGACAAATAGGTAGGCTGGATTTTAAATATTGTGTGGTAATAGGGAATTTAATATCCTTTAATATATATAAATATTTCCATCGGAAAGTAATATTGCACTTTCGCACTTATTATTAAAACTTTGAACAAGATAGATAAGGAACAAAATACCCCATGGACAATAAATAAAAAAATATCTACTGGCTCACTAAAAATGCTGGCCGTAAATCAATATTTATATAAAAATAAACTCTAAGAATAAGATATATTTTTATGACAGGAAAAATATAAACTGTCTCTAGCTTACGCGAGTAGATACACATTTAAATAAAACACTGAAACGATTTAAAACGCGATATACATTACTTAACTTATTTGAAAATTATTTTACCATGGCCCGACCTTTCGGATGCTTTGCAGCAGCCGTGGTCACGGAGAGAGGGGTCTAACACGTCTATAGCGTTTGAAACCATTAAAGTGTTTTATCTAAAAGAAGAAATATATAAGGCATAGAGCACGATGTTTATTTACTAAGTGTAGTTAAGTTAAATTGTATCCTATGAATATTCAAACCAGAAGAATAATACAAGAATCTTATCTAAATTCTTTCACAAATTCAAAACAAATGTGCGTGTATTAAAATTTATTTCCAATATTCTCTTGTTCTTGTCTCATATTACTTTGTCGTAATCGTGTTTATTAAACGTGTGTTAATGATTCTCGTGATACAATGTTTAATTCGCTAAGTAACTGAAATTCCGAATTAAGCTATTTTATTATCCGTGTAATTTTCTTTTATCCGAACTATATTTTTAATTTAAGAGTGTTTGTAAATATCTTGTGTTTGTGAATCTAATAATCTGTTATAATACAATAAGAATATTGCCAGTATCCATTAGTTTAAAAAAATATCACAATAAAGCCAAAATTTAAAGATAAAGTAGCATTATGCTAAGCGCTTTATGATGTTACATTCTTGTGAATATATTAATTAACATAATTTGTTTTTAAACGCAAACTATTCGCTTCTTCCTTTTGCGAAGGATTATGGATTTAATAAAAACTAGAGCTATAAAAAACAGAGCACATTGTTTAGCGTTGAATATTTTAATATCATTATAAATATATACGTCAGTAAAAATAGCGCTACATTTGACTTAAGTGAATATTAATATTTTTGGCGCCAAATTTTTGATATAGATTATAAAACCACAGAGCATATTAACAAGATTTATTAGCACGCTGACACGTCCCACAGATAAACTGTTTTGGTAACGACAATGTCAAATTAGCACAGACTATAATTAATGAGGCATTAAAGAAAAGGAAGCAACAACAAAAGCACTTCACATGATTGTACTAGTTTTTGAGTTACGTAAGCCGATCTTTCTGCACGACTGTCATTCAAGTTCAATAACAAAAAGCGAATCAATTGTCTTCAAATAAATAAAACATCAATTGTATTATCATAGATCGATTCTATTTGGCAAAGTTTCCATTCCATTTCATACATACAAGATTAACTATTTCCACGACAAAAGTACGCCAGATCAACGTCCTAGCATTATGTCATTGGAATTGAATCTAAAAAGTGATTTATTCTATGTATAATGACGTCGTCACGGAGTTGTAGCGACAATGAAACACGCAATACAATTATTAGACGCCTCACATACAATTGCAAGTAACATAGGGTTACCGCATCGGTGGACTGGTTTCTTTTTTATGTCAGAGGTGACAAACATTTGGTTAACCCGTTAATTGATACTGAAGTTAATGAGGCTACATAAAGGCGGAAGACCAACAGACAGATGATACAAAAATTAATTACGATTTTACACACTATAGTTTAGAAGGACACTACCGTCACATATTTATTTTTCTGATAAATGGAATAATTTTTATAATCACTACACGAATTTAAACATATTTTTATTCTTGTAATCATTATTTTGTGTACATACTTCCTAAATTTGATAACCCTTGTGTGATAGTATTCGTTAATTCAATTTTTGATCAAATTCTTTACGTAAGTGAAAGTGGTCTAAAATTCACACAGCTCGAATGAACAAGTCATAAAAGATTTCACCAAATGCGAATACATGAAATTTTTCAAATACACAGATAATATTTTCGCGGAAAAACTTCATTAACATAATCTTGTATACAGATTAAATATTTATACGAATAGCATTATCGAAGACTTAATAATCTAAATACGTTTGATATTGTAATGGACTACTGTTTTTTTTCTATCTTAGTCTCACAGGAAGTGCATAATGAAATATTTTTATATGATTTATCAACATTATCAACAACATCAAAAAAACATTATCGTTATCGTAATGTTTTGGATTACTCACGTTTTAAAGATTCTCTAGTTTTATTAGTTCAATTATTTTATTACTATTATTTACTTAATGGATCCTTTGCATTTTTTTTTCATACATATATCATGTCATAAACCGCGATTTAATGGTCAAAGGACATAGGATGTCAAACGTCTTCGGTTCGATTCGTGTCTAAAATTTTTCTTTTCATTTATTACGTAAATTCATTAAATACAAAAGTCGCTGTCGCTGGATGTTACTTAAAAACTATGCCACGGATACGGAACCGCTTTTGGAGAAGGTTTGATCTAGGAAGATTTGCTGAGCCCGAAACATTGTTTATGAGGACATTCTGTTGTAGAACTATTTAGTATCGGTATCGCACCTGTGCGAAGCCAGGGTGGGTCGCTAGTATTCAATATAACCAAATATATGTACTTACATAGTCAGCCAAACTCTTCATTCCATATGGAAACCGTTCTCTATCAGGCACCAGTTTACCGCGTGGGTCTCTTTCCCTCTCGAGCCAGCAGTCATCGACGTTGATGTACTCGTAACCAGCTGCCGCATAACCTTCCGACACCAGGATATCAGTCATCGTACGGAATAACCGGTCACTGAAAAACGATTGAACGGTTAAAATAAATTCAGAAATTTACGAAACTGTCTACAAAGAAGAAGAGCAGGTCTAATAAGGTAAAGTAGAAGTGGGCAATGTTTTAAATTGCTTTATTTATATTATTAATCTGGTTCTACCCGTAAATGTATGAACTATCCAAGAGTTATACCAGCCATAAACTAAGAAATATACCATCTTTTAAATCTTTAGTAGAATTAAAGGTAAATTATAGAGTAACCGTTCCTAAACCGGAACCGATTACAAGAATATTATGTAAGCTAAGATAATCAATTTTTCATTTTCAGGGGTCGGATTTATTTACGAAACAAGAATTAATTTTTACTATTTGATTTTTTTTTATTCTTTGTAAGTTCGGTTTTCGATTTTATGAAGGTATATATCAACACTTACCTTATACAATTATCAGGATCATTCTTGCAATCCGTATTACACCGGAATCTCTCCCAAGCCAGCCATCCCATAGGAGGCGTCAAGGCTAACCCATTGTCCAGACCCAAAATCTGCCCCAATAAACACAAAATCCCAACAGCGGTCCACACACAAGATTTCACTGAAGCCATCACAACAAATTTGATTCACGTTAGAACAACTATAGTCATGCTTTTCGTAAAATAGATATGAGTCTTCTTCGCGCGACGGTCAGCAAGGAAGTAACCAAAAGATCTGCAACAAGTGAGTTGATTTTGTTATTGTTTATTGCTTATCCTATGAACTTAAGATGACATTTCCGCTGACGTATCGATCACAGATAATGTCAAGTTCATGATGTTGAAGACATTATCTGTAGAACAATACAGATTTTAAAATAACGTAACGAAAGTGGAAGTGAGGAAGGTAGTTTAACAGTATTTTTCATATCTAATGTTTGTTTATATAGATTATAAGAGATAATAGTTCTATACTAAAACTGTACAGTGTGTAGTTTAAATAAAACACTTTAGCCCCCGTGACCACGGCTAATGCAAAATATCCGAAATGTAGGGCCATATTAAAAATAAGTGAACTCATATATTTTGTGTTTTAAACCGTTTAAATTATTTTATTTAATACATGTGCGTATATTCACCAGATGTGGCGACTAGAATATGTGCTGCCAAGTCATTCTAAGTAACATATTAATATATAACTTACTTTTCTTATAAATAAAAGTCTTTCATATAAATCTAACTTCAGATAAATTGAACGTGGGAAATAATAATTCTAGATAAGTATTAGGTCGGCAATTATTTCCTTATTTTAATTGTAGGATTACAAAGATTTCCTGTTATTCGTAGCGTGTTATTATTTTGCAAATAAGAATAATCAAGCGTAACATTATGCCTAAGTATTATTACTTACACATGTATTAACGTACATTAATACAATTTCGAAGTGTTTGAACTTATTGTTTTTAAGGGAGTGTAGTAATAGTGAAATCCCGTTTCCAAAAAGCCCTCGTTAGGGGCATAAGGGCGAACACATTCTTGTGTCCGTTTCGGGAATTGATAGGTTCTTTTACAAACAAGTAGTTGATCAGACTTCTTGTGCGCTGCCCGACCAAAACAATCTATTATTTAAACGGACCCCATGAGATTCGACACTAGTACCTCTCTGGGCTTCCCGACAAAAACAGACTTAACGAAATGCTTTTGTTTGTTTTTTTTTGCAATATATAAATTAATGTTTTGTCATTTGCATAAACTTCAATAAAACATTAATTTTCGTATTAACTCCTCTAAAACGAAGATCTAAAAAGTCTAGAACATTAATTACCTAGCTATATTTCTGTTCCCAATTGTCACACATTAGTTAACATTGGTATTACAATAGTTATATCAAAGTCACTAAGGCAAGTCGATAAATCATTAAAACATTATTAATAAAAAGACAATCACAATAGAATAATACTAATTGTACAACTGTATTATTGCCAATGAATTTTCTGTATTGAAGTGACTGATGTCAATCCATTATATTATTGATTGGTCGATTTAATGCGTACAGATTGTGAAATTTATTGTTTGTATCGTTAATGTATCAATGATCGATGTTTTGTTGTAAACAGCGAATGTCTAAGACTGCGAAAAGAAGAACTTCTAAAAGCCAAGAGGCATTTTATTGAAGAGGTACGTTTTTAATATACAGGAGGACAGACAGGCACCCAGCCTATGTTATCTTTATTTGAAGTAAACATGCAATTATAGTTATGAATTAAAAGCCTTTTACTATTTATTTTAGTCTTGACCGTTTTTGCAGCGTACGCGTCGGTAACCCACAGAGATGATTTCGCAATTTTTTCATATTTCCCGCTGTATATTCGCTTTTATTAGTCACAGCGCGATGATTTTATAGCCTATAGCGTTCCTCGATAAATGCTCTAACTAACACAAAAAGAATGTTTCAATTCGAACCCGTAGGTCCTGAGCGCGTTCAAACAAACAAACAAACTCTTCAGCTTTATATATTAGTATGGATAAATATTAAATAACTTTTCATAATATAAACTAGTTGTTAATTTAATCACAGACTTATTAATATTGAGTTCCTATAAGTGTACACAAGTTTAAGATTTAATTATAATTACAACACATAAGTATTAAACTAATTTCCGAACACTTCATACGCAAAATGTCGCAACAGACTGGTTCTAGTTTGATGCTGTACACGTTAAGCAATATAATCCCAAGAGACTGAGGTTAGTGTTAGTCTATAGTCGTCACACATTCGATAAAGCCTTAGGGCTTCTTTCTTTCTTTGTGTTCTTTTTATTTCTCTCAGTATAGGTCTATATATTTTTTTATTGTCTGATCAATATGAAAACTAAAATTAGACTTAAGTGTGGAATGTTTTCTCGGAACTCGAATCCGGAACTTCTAGCGTCTAATGCGTACTAGATATTCAAAAGCCAAAATTGATGGTTTAGATTTAGCTGGGGGTTTACACGCGATAAAGTTATGAATTGTAATGTGTCGCCCACACAACAAAATATTTTGTGTTGCTACCTTTTTTTCTTTTATTCGCTTTGACTAAAAATTGAAAACCCGTGTCCGTGTCTGTTTTATTTATAGGCAAGTAGTTAATAAGACCTCTGTGCTCTGCCCCATCAAAACAATGAATTGTTTTCACAGAAAACAAAACCATTTAGGTAATAATAATAAAATTCTCTATTGTACAAACATAGACACTTAAAATTATGTATACAAAATAAAACATGTTTGTGCAAAGACGGCCTTATCGCCTATGACGATTTCTTCTAGGCAACCTTTGAATGTAAAGAAATATGAAAATTACAGTAAAGAAGGAAATGTCAACATGGAAAATAAAATTATGCAATATATATGTGTATATGTCAATGATTTCCTAGCAGACGCGTTAGAACTTAGACTATTTAATCTAGGTTCAACTTCAGCTAAACGTAAAATTTGCGTCAGCTAGACGTCTCTTTGTTTTAAGTACCAATGAAAAACTTACGTCATTATAATGATGTGAAATAGCAAAAAGGCACTGTTGTATCGGAAAACCCCAAAGTTAAAAAAAGCACCAAAACGTGTAATTTGCGCAATTACATTAATTTCAACAGTCGGTTTTAGTATGAAATTATGTCAGATTACGAATGTAATTTTCTAATTACATACACTAGAGTTATTGTAATCTATCGTAAGTTTATTGTTAATGTAATTGAGATGATTATAGATGATTATTATCGTTTCATGATTTTTTTCTTATTTCTACAGGGTGTGTTTTAAGACAAAATTAATGCCAATGTTAAAATAGGTGATAGTGTTCACTTAAATTTTACCTATTTTTGAATGATTCTTCTTAAACCAATTCAAAATAGCTTCTTAGATTTAAACAGCGATAAAACAATCTTTATTACACCTAAAAATACTTATTTTTAATATAATATGATGCAGTAGATTTAAAGACCTGAAAGAGAACTTAAGATTATGGAAATTATTAATATCTACGTTAAATTATCTCTAGAAGTCTAACTTTTTAGGTATTCGCTTCCTTTGATATTACTTTAAAATTTCGTGTTATAGTTATCATATAAACCTAAACATATGAGTAGATAAAATAACAATATACTGTATAATACAGAGCTTAAAAGTCGATGTTAAATATCGTCTCAACTGGACGCAATTCTTATACAAGAGCACGTTTAAAGTTAATTATGGTCACGTGGCTATCGGCCGAGCTTTACGTAATTTTATGTAAGTAACCGGACCAGTGGTTTTAGGGTTGCCGCTTAACAGACTTACATTTTAAAACTAACTAGTATAAATAGAAAATATTATTGTGTGTATTATTAGTGTGAACTTGTAAATTAATTTATATTGATTATCTGAATAAAATATTATTTTAATACTATTTTAATATTATCCTTGTATTTTTAAGTTAGATTGTCTTAGAGACTTAATAGTTAATTTTCATTAAAATGTTTATTATTTTATTATTATTATTTTACAGTTATTTAAGGAAAATGCTGCCACCTATGTATGTTAATTTAAATTTATTTGTTAGCAGGTGACAACCCTGGCTCGCACTCACATACACGATGTATACGTGAAAATGGTTAAAAAACTCGAACTAACAACTGTAATTTCCGTCAATCAGATGCTAATTAACATGCTTTACACAATTTTAATGATTTTCTTCGTAACAATGCTTTCACTTTGTCAATGTTTGTTAACGAATTAAACGAAAAATGGAAAAAATAACTTGAAATTTCGTTATGGACACTCTATATAATGTGGTATACAGTGTATATAATAAAAACACGTTACATTGATATAATTTGTTTCTTGTACGAGAAGGACAAACATAGTGACTTTTCACTTGATACAAAGTGAAATAACTCAGCAATGTAACATCTGAATAAGGTGCGCCGTCGACCTATTTTGTCTTTGGATAATCGGAAATCTACTGAATCGGAAACGCGACTAAACTTGACTACTTTTTCATTTGTTGACGGTCGTTTTGACCGAATTTTCATATATTATACCTTATACCCAATTAATATCTAGATTTTGCGGATCTAGTCCAACATATTCAAAAAATTATGACTAACTTCTGAATCGATTACAAACATGTTGAACTCAGTGGAGATCAAACCTACGATGATATATTATCTGTATACTGTCTGTGGTTTACGCAGTTAGTACATATTTAAATAAAAAACTTTAACGGTTTACAACGCGATATGTTTTAGTAATGCGATATATTATAGTTTTGGATAGCCGTGGTCACGGCTGCGAAGGATCTAAAACGTCGGGCCGTAGTTAAAAATAAATATAATTTTCAAACAAGTTTATCTATAATTAAGCTTTTTAACAGTATAAAGTTATAGATGATAGAATAAAATAGTCAAAAGTGCAACACACTAATCCCCCGGCCTTCAATACGGATACCAACAGAAAATTATAATCTTTAAAATATTTATTTGAAACAGCGACCTTGCTTTAATAAACGCACATATAAAGTTTCATGAGTCATATACAATTCAGGTCAGGTAATTCTATTCAGCAACTTTATCTTGGACTATTTTTTGTTTCTACTAAGAATAGCATATCAGATAAGC